GGCATGATCCACCAACCCATTTTAAAGCACAGCAGCCATCCTTTGTTTCTGCAGTCCTCCAAAACTGAAATGTAGCTATATCCCTCTCCCAAAAAGTCATGTGTGTTCTGCACTACTAATTCAGCTTCAGGATTTTTTTGATGGCAAAGATATACCAACAAAAACTTACTTCCAAACCCAAGTTTAAAAGACACCATTAAACTATTCAGTATACAGAGCACTCGGCAACAGGCAGAGACCTCTCACAAGTGCCTGATTCTTCAAAATCCTGAGCTGCCAGCTTCACATTCAACAGCTCTAGATACAGCCTTGGAGAAGCCTTGGTAATTGCAAGGTTTACAAGTTTTTTCTATGTTGGAATGGCAAGGTAGGATGTATGTTTCTAATTGCTAGTGGGTTTCCAAAACTGATTAATGTTGGCCTGGTTGAATGGTAAATCTCTCCGACTTCCACAGCAGTGCTTGACCAGAGAACCACTTCTAAAAAACAGAATCTGTCACCTTGCAGGTTTTCTTTTTAATGGTTTTATGAATTTCAACAAATAAGAAAGACATTTCCTTGGCTCAAAGTCTGCTGTATACTTTCCACTGCTGTTTAGCCATCTGTGACTGAATGAGCTCTTTCTTCCCCACCCTTTTCTCCATCTTCATTGCAGAAGGACTGGGATACAGGCAGTGCAATGTAAAGCACAGCATGCCAAGTTTCCACTAAAGCATTCACACCCAGCCAAGGGCCTGCTTCTTCTGATCCTCCTCAGGCAGGGACAGTTGCTGCAGGACCACAGCTTGCCATTTGCAATATGTAGCACTCAGTTTATTCCCAATACCTAAGTATAAAAGGATCAGAACATCAGGGTTGTGAATTAAGGCTTAAAGACGCTTTGCTTTTGTTGCATTCAGTTTCTAGAATTATTCCTCTGTTTTGCAATAGGTGAGTTGACAGTGAGGCAAGAAAAACAAACAAAACCCCACCAAAAAACTTCATAAACTTCTTGGGCTAGGTGGACAGAGATTAATTGAACCTTTACTTAAAATTACTGCAAGTAACAGTACATGAGAATGAAAGGCAAAATTGGTTCTCAGCAATAGAAAGAACATAGGGATGCTTATACCTACAGTATCCTATTCATTTATTTGACCTTTCCTTTTACAAATACCACTCAGACAAAAATTTCAGTTTTGCCAACAGCAGTTTTGTCTGTGGATAAAGAAATGTTTTTAAATGTTAAAATTACTACTGGAAAATATATTTTGCTAAGTGAGCAAAGGTGTCCCACAATATAGCACTTAGAGCATGCTTTGAACATAAGAACTCAAAGATAGATGTGTGTGCAGTCGAGATTGTATATACAGAAAGAGCTTCCTTCTTTTCTTTACTTCAGAGGTACATTACAGTGTGAATAAGCATCTAGAAATCACTCTTTTCTCTTGATCTTGAATACAGTATGCTTTCACAAAGTTCTAGGCAAAACAAAATTCTTCATTCCTGCCATGTAGATATCAAGGTTGCTGTCCTGCAATTTCTTGTATTTATATTCCTTGTTCTGTAACTGACACAAGAACTTGCTTGAAGAACCATCATAGGAAAAAATAGTGTTTCAAGATGTGCTGGTGGCTGCAAGAGTTATCCTGTGATCTGAATTCTCCCAAATTAAATATGACTGACAGATCAGTCAGCTAACAGATTCATCTGTAGGGGAGGGAACCAACAAAAAAACCTGCTTAGTTCTTCAATATTTTCACAATAGCACTTCCAATTTGAATTTCCTTCAAAGAATATTTTGCATTTAAAACCCACTTTGTTTTAAAAGCTTCTATGTGCTCCAGGAGAAAATTTTAACAAAAAATTTTAAATTAGTGATACTTCAGCTTGCTTTTATTCATAGCAGCAAATCAAAATGATACTGAAAACAAACAAACATAAATAGCTATCTCACACAAGAGCTGACTGTTCTGCAGACTTTACAGTGAAGATGGAGCCTTGATATAGGATCTTAGGCATACACCTGTAATACAAAGTTAAATCATATTTTAAACTAAACTTTCTAGTAAGGGTAGATGCTAACAAAAATAAGAGCTCTAAGGAAGGGGGCACTTCTCAATCCTGTGCTGTTAAAGCCTGTAAAAATTTAACCATCTCAGTTGGTTACCACATCTGTAACACATATACGGCAAAGCTTTGTCTTGAATGAATAAAAACACTTTGGCATACAACCATATCATAGTGGTAAGGTACATGCCTGAATATTCCTAAAAAATGCTCTCAGAGGTACTCTGTGAGCAGTATTATTCTGCAGAAGATGAAGGAGCACAAAGGCCCATTGTGCACACTAATGCAGAAAAATGAAATCAAATACCATTCCCAGCAAAAGCAGAGTGTCTTCTGAGCAAAGGCTACTAAGTGTGTCAGACTGCAGGATATTTTCTGCACATGGCTATTATGTTAAGACATACTGAGCATGTGTCACTTATAACCCTGTCCTGGTTGTAACATCACAGCTCCAGAAAGTCTGGTGCATCAATTCTTTGTATCAAATACTCACACTTCTCCTCTCAGCAAGCTGTCACTTTTCATTTGTAAGGAAGGTTAGAGTAAGTTATAATTAGTACTTGCTGCCCTGTCAACTAATTAAATGTAATAAAAAGCTTTCAGTGAGTTTAATTCTACCATGGTGTAATTACAGCTGAGTTTTGAATGCATGGTGCATGTATTATAGGTTTTGGTATGTGCCCCCCACCTTTTGTGACCTAACCCATCATATGATTAGTGGGTGGGCACTGTCAAAGACAACCATTTCAGACCTAAATACAAATCAACACCAATCCAGTCCTGTGCATTTTTAGAGGCACTACATCACCCTGTAGGGGTGAGAGTGGAAGTAAGGAAGAAGAGAAACAGGCAGCTAATTGCTTGCTTCCCCATTCTTCCTTTTCCCTTCAGGAGGCACCCTCGCTCAAATTCTTCCATCCACAAAGCTCCCACTGCTCTGAGCCTTTTTCATACTTTTTGTAAAGAAAAACATGGCTGAGATTTCAAACCCACTTCCAACCCCATCCCTTCGGCAGTCTGAGGGGCTTCCTGAGTACAGAAGCACCTTGTGCAACTGCCCTGTTTGCATGGTTTTGGAGCTAGCTCTGTTCCTCAAGAAGCCAGAGTTAGACCATACCACACTCAGGGGAGTAAGGATGACTGCTCAGGAGGCCTAGGGCTGGACAAAAGTGATGATGGAAACCATGTAATGCTTCAGCACATGGTTGATATAATTCCTTACTCTCCTAAGTATCTGGAAGAGCTATGAACACATTAAAAAAAAGGTGAAAAGCAGCCAGTCTTTAGATCAGCCAGGATGTTGGTAGTAACAGCTCTGGATAGTCAGTTGTGCCCACTGCATTCTTCACACTTTAATACTCGTACTCCTCATTGCTTGCCCCATCCCTGGAAACGTTCGAGGTCAGGCTGGACAGGGGTCTCAGCAATCTGATCTAGTTGAAGATGTCCCAGCTCATTGCAGGGGGCTTGGAACTAGATGACCTTTAAAGGTCCCTTCCAACCCAAACTGTTCTATGATTCTACGTAATGTAGGTACAATAAGCCCCCAAAATGAAGACATAATTAACTGAACAAAAATATAGCCTAAGAGAACCAATTAAAATGATGAAAACCTTTAATTTTATTTAAGTATAATTGTACGGACACGTGTATATACAAATACAGATTTTATGGGGCGGGGATTTTCGGTGTTTTTTATTGGGGTTTTTGTCTTATTTTGTTTTGTTTTAACATTTTCTCTTGAGTTCATATAATGTAAGCATTTCAAAACCAGCACTCAATGAATAAGTGCAAAGAAACTGCAAAGCAGGGCAGTACAAGCACAGGACCACACTGAGCTGGACTTTCATACCCAGATGCATACACAATGAGTGTGTTCAATGGGGTGTCAAGAGTAAGCATGGAAAGCAGATTTCACAGACTCATGGGTAACCTCCAACATGCCAGCATCTATTAAACTGTACAGACAATGGCAGCAAGCCTATTGTAGGGAGATTTGTCTCACATCTGAGAAGCTCAAGGGTGAATGCATGGGAAAAACTCAGTGATGCCAGACCAGAAACAGATCTGCCCATTCATAGCTCCAAATTAAAAAAGAAGGGTGGGAGAAGACGAAAGGCAGGAAAAGGGAAGAGAAGTGTGTAGGGTTGTACATTAAAACTGGTGATTACAAAATCCAAGCATAATGAAAGGAGGGGAAGAGTTAACACTCTAAGCCTCTGAAAGCAAATAAATCATTGCTCTCACAAGGCAATGGATTAAGCTCAATTTTGAGGGCTAGGGGTAGGAATCAACAGGTACAAATACAACCATTTTCCTTCCACAATTACATAGGAGAGGAAACAATCTACTTCACCTACTCTCAGTACCTCCCAAATTTGTTTCTAGTTCTTTTGGAACCAAGTACATACATACATCACACATGACACTAGCAAGTTCCTTTCTGGAAAAAACTATTCATGGAAACAAAACCAGAATGAAAAAAAAAAACCAACCAACAACCCAAAAACACCCCCCCCCCCCAAACAAAAAAAAAATAAAATGAAACAACAGAAAAGAAAAAAGAAACAAACAAACAACAACAACAACAAAAAAAACACAAAAAAAAAAAAAAAAGAAAAGAATTTCCATATCCCCAAAAAACCCTTTTGAAACAAAAATGATACAAAAGAACAAAAAAATAACACAGAAACCATAGGGCTCCAAAATCAGACCTTTAAACACTGAGGACGAAACACTGGTCATCAAGTCATGTTGTTCCAGGTCTTGACATTGTGAAGTCTTGCACTAGATGAATGATTTTCAAAGATGAGTCCTGTATGCTGCAGTGTCATGGCCACTTGTCTCTCAGTACTCAGCCATGATCACACTTGATGCTTCAAAGCTCTGTCTTGTAATCAACGCATGATTTTAATATCCTGAAAGTCTATTGTTCTCACTTACAAAAGACATAAGAATCAAATTAATACTTTATTATCAAACACTATATACAACAGAGGTTACTAATAATACAGAATTTAAAGAACATAGCTTTAAGTTTTACTTGTCTTTTCTTCACCGTCCAAGTAAGTACAGTACAAAACAATACTCTAAACTACCACGAAATGTTACCTTGTCTATTAAAGGATACACAGTATCCACTAAACTGACCAATCCCTATTTTCCCTGCTTCACATTGCAATGTCCTTGGCAGCCAGGAGTACAGGTCTCGGAAATAAGCAAGCCACCTAGGCTGAGGGAGAATCAGTCCCTCAGACTCGAGATGGGGCAGATAAAGGGGAAAGGAGCAGAAATCTCCATTAATTTGCACCAACATGTGTATTTAAAGCATACAGAAATATGAAATGCAACACAAAGCCCATCAGCGTTTATGTACTTGGTATGACTGGGATTGCCTGATGCCACTGAGTACCAAACTGACAGTGCCTGGTATGCTCAAAGCCACACCATGTCAGGCAGCTCAGGGATCTGCCCTGCATCACTCGTGGTGTTCCTCACCTACCTTACAGGATTCTGTGATAAAACAAAGGAGTGATTTTCACTAGGAGCACAACTAGTGACAATCCTTTGCTGTAGATAAACATATGTCTTGAACTCTGACATCATTCAGAGGCAAAGAATGAAAAATGAAGTCGCCATTTCTACATTAAATTGGCACTACTGGTATGACTGCCTGCAATTGCTATGAACAATTTTAATATGGTTACCAGTAATGTAATATTGTCTGTACTCTGGTTAATAACCCATTTGATAAGGTGCATTTTGATTCAGCTTACTTCATCAAAGCGTTTTCATTCCTGCCTACTGGAGATACTAGTGTGTGTACCATTCACAACCACATTAAAGAGAGAAACGTACCAGATAGATAGCCTGTAATGAGATGATGACTTCCCCTACTGTTTAGACTGCATATAATCTTACTGCGTGCTCTTCATACTAGAGGAAATTTCCTACGTTCCTCCTGTAAGCACAGGCCCTATACTAATGTTGTACAATATCAGGCAAGCCCAGATCATAGTTTAGCACTCACAAACCTCCCTTTACATCTTAAATTTATTTCCCCCTTTTCTTCTCTTTTGCATAGTGGGCTGCTTCAACTTCTGAAAAGCTTTTCTCCATTAAAAAGAAAAAAGCCGACGAAGTGCTGTCCATTAATGGTATTACTCAATTTTGTTACAGCAGACTTCAGAATTAATATAGAAAACTCTGATTTTGCTCGAACCCGGTTCATGTTTGTAACTCATTTAACATAATTATCACAGGTTTTGTTAGAAAAGCTTTGTTTCAGTCTTGGCCTGATATTTCCTAGATTATGCTTAGCAGTCCAAGATTCACAGCAGCCTAGCCAAAAAACATCCCAAGGCTTGCACTTCCTGGCAAATGACTTTTTAAAGTTCTGTGTTAGCCAAGGCTCAGATTCCTTAAACAGGGTCATTCCTAATTCCATCAAACAAGACAGTCCCATTTCCTAATTGCATCAAGGGTTACCACTTCTCTCACATGTTTAAATAGGACAAGCATATATACTTACTCTCAGCATGAAGTATATCTAAATAATGCACATTCTATTCTAGAGGATTTTTAAAAAAATATTTTGTTAAGTCTTTGGGAGCCCATCTAGTTTATCTCTGGCTGATAAACACGTTTCCTTTACTCTTCAAACTCTGCTGGAAGGGGAAAAGATAAAAAAATCAACACTTGAATTTGTAGTCCACTCTTCTTTTCTTTCCCCCCACCAAACAATGCTACTATTGTCCTGGCTTCTACATGTGGTTTGTTCTCATGATTGAGGAACTTGCAGGAGAGACAAATCAAGAGCACACTGGAGATCCTGTGTCATGAACACGTTTTCTCAGGCCACTTACATCCTCTCTTAGCATGTATTGACACCCAGAGCAGCATCCAAGGCTATCAGCTACTAAGTCAGTGCTGGGGAAGGTCACTTTATTCTCAAAAGTGCCTCTGCATTTCAAGAAAAAAATCGTAGCACCACGGTGATTTGTTTTAAAATAAAATAATCCGGTGTGCAATATCCCCTTAAAACGAAATAACAGAGGCACTCACACCCCCAGTGAAGTTTCCTAAATCCAACCTTTCCTTCTGTGCGCTAACATTCCTAAGTATGAACTTCTTCATCTCACCAAAAGACAGCATTTCTACTCTTGAGCACAAACTCTACTGTCAAAGATGTTTCAAGACAGTCCTGTAAGAAACACAGTCTTTCCCTTTCAGAAGCCTGTTCACTTAGAAACTCCTGGAGGAAATGGTGTTATATCTATTCTTAATATTTCCCCTCCAGTCCTGACATGGTGACACGCCGCCTTGCATGATCATCTTACAGTGCTGAATGAGAAGGCATAAATACTGTATCAGAGAAAAACTCTCTCAGGCTTTAACTCACTTTCCTTATCCTTCACTGACTGCATCTGCCACTGCTCTTCCTTGTCCACATATGGATGACACAGTGAGCTAACAGAGGTGACTTCTTACAGGAGAATGCAGAGGAAAATAAGAATCACTAGTGTCACTATCATAGTTTGGCATTTCCATTTGGAGTCCTTTTATTTATATGGAGGGGTTAAGAAAGTCAAGGGTAGGTAGGGGTGGGTGCTGAAGCTAGTTATCCCCTTCAAATTTTTGCTGAGTTCAGGCTAAAGGGAGAAGAAAAGGGAAAAAGGGAAAAATAACAATTTGACATCTGCAAAAACAATAAAGTCCCTTTCCTGGGATGATGAGTTAGGTGGATCTTTGATGTTCCAAGACCCTCTTATTTTCTGCGACAGGTTGCCGGAGCATACTGTGCTATAATATCAAAAGCATTGCCAGGAGGAACAACAGAGTTGCCAAAAGCCGGCTGGGTATCCTTGGTGTCTGTGCCGTGTTCTCGCCACGGGATGGTTCAGCTGACTCATGTACGGTATCATCTGTTCAAACATAAAGCATACATTCCAATGAGATTTTGCATCCTTAATAAACCCTCACTGAGCCGACAACTCTTAAGTAGATTTCAGTGCCTTTATGAAATAGGGCAATGAACCTTGTGCTGTCATTGACTTTCACAAGCGTGTAATACCTCATTATGTAACCAACCTGGGGCCAAGTCCTGCATTTCTTACTGGCAAAAGTCCCACGGAAGACCAGAGGAGCAGAAAGTAAGTCTGATTTCAGCACATTGAGGAATGAATGATTCCTCTTCTAATAAAACACTGTAGATCTAGGTTTGGATGGCTTATTAGATAGCAATGTCAATAGGGAGGCAGCTAAATAAAAACACCTGATTTTCAAAAGGCTTTGAAGAAGAGCTGCACATGCTCAGAATTAATTTCACAGTTAATCCCCTTACTGAGTTACAGATTTTGGGTCCTAAATTTGAAATGACAGCCTGTAAGCCCAGGCATATATTCCACTTCCACACATGAAATTTCCACTGAAGTGTACCACATCTGTGGATGTACAGGGGGTATAAGATCAGTCTCCCTTTCTCAAAAGAGAATTCTAAAGGCTAACACATGATAATCTCCAATTTTATAGAACATACTAAATCTGGAAAACCTCGCAGGTAACAGACTACCTTTTATGGTACACTCCCCCCCCCATTTATGTATATACTGCTAAAAATAATGGAAAAAAGAACCAGCTGAGTTAGGTAAACATACATTAGTGGCAGAAGAGAACACAGTAGCGAATACTAAATTTATGATACCAAATAAAGCTCTCTTTAGCTTTTGCTAACCAAAGATCAGCCTTAAAGCTACAGCTTGTAACATAAATGTTGGTAGGTGAAGTAAAATTCAACTTCAGTGCTGTTACAGGTATGATACTTTCCTCTGCAAAGTCTTCCATATCCACAGTTATCTAATTTGACTATTTACAAAGTAATCTGTCTGAAACTTGCCATAAAAATTCATCTCTGGATTTGTATTTTCTTAGTACCAAATAAATTAAATAAGCTAAACCTTTTCAGGAAGTATGAAGTGGCCTCAAAATTTATTCTTATTTTAGAGTGCCTAAGTTTCCAGGAAGATTAATAGTATCTCATTACTTAGTGTAATTAAACTCCCCCATTTTGCGAGATATGTTGATGTATCTGTGATGTATCTGTCTCATAGCTCCCATCTCAACAAACTGCACTGCCAGAATGGCCCTGGGTGAGAGCTTTGCAAGTCTGGTTAAAGGCTTGAGTCAGGACACTCAATATGACTGTCAAACGCTTGAGTCATGGGATCACCATGCTGCTTTGTTACTTCGCTTTAACTAGAAACAAGATCCCTTCTTTCATAACCTTGACACCTAGCACAAAAGCAGGTAGAGCACTTAGCACAATTTAAGTTAATAGGCTCTTCAGCCCCAGTTCAGTTACACAGAAAGATGCATAGCAATCTGGATTAGCGATTTATCACGTTTTTTTTTCTCAGTACTACAATCACATTAAGCTTACCAACAGGTCTTCAGGGCTGCTCAAGGCAAAAGTATGAAAAGCAAGCACTGATCAGCTGTAAATATATTCATACTTGTAAGAAAAGTACATCATCAGATGACAGTCCCACTGATGACAGTGGGAGAGGCTGGCTGGAATGACTGGTTACAGCTCTTCACCATGTACGGCAGGGAGACCTTACCAGGCACTTCAGCCCTGAGCAAGGCCCTTTCAGCGAATGTTGGCTACTGAAATGTTCCAGTTCCAGCAGCTGTGAGTACCAAAAGCTGTCTCGCATTTCACTTCTGAATTACACTTCTGTGCTTTGGTGACAGTGCAACGAGAGTACAGTATTTCACAAAAGCAGGTCCTAATTAAATCATACTCTAAGAAGTTACGAGGAAAAAATATCCCTATTGTAACTGTTAACTCTTCTTTTATATATATATATATATATATATATATATATATATACAGAGAGAGAGTCAGTTCTTCCTGATTTGAAAATATTTACTCACTGCTGATGAAGTAAAACTGCAGAGGAAAATGATATACACCTTTCACCTCTTGCATCACCAACAGAATTGGAAATAAACCTGAATTTGCAATGTCGAATGTCGAAGGCTTGGTCCTAATTACATTCATGAGTCAGCACTAAAACACAATAGGGCAAAACTAGTGTAAAGCAGTAATAAATTCTCATTCACTTTGACTATAAGATACTGCAATGACAGGAACATGGGCTACTGTTAAAAAAAAAAAAATTAACAAAAGATTACTTATTTTACATGAAAAATATGGCGATCTTCTGTGGTGCCATTTTTTAAAGCCATTCTTCATAGGGGAATTAATTTTTATGTAACATTAATGGGTTCCTTTCCAGAAATCATCTGGGTTTTCTGTCAGCGCAGTCCCAAGGTTTCTGCACTTGTACATTAGAGCATTTGGTTAATCTGTGTTCTCAAAATCATATACAAATATGATTTTCCTTGGAGGTGCAGAGTTGTAACACTGCACAATCTTTAATGCCTGGGGAAAAGGTACTGCTTTATTTTTAACACTGAAGGCAAGTGATGAAGGGTACAAAATTTGTGCTTAAAACCTGGAAGATCACTGCTGAAGACTAGGAATGCAGCAGAAATTAGAAAAAAGTATTTCAACTGCCATGAATTTTCTTGATCACGTAGCTTTACATCATATGCTTCAGGTATAGATTTTCCAGGTATGCACAGCTACAATTTTTGTTTAGTGACATTTTATTTTTATTATTAAGGATGAAAAGAGGGGGAGGACAGGAATAGGCCAATTACTTTTAATCTCTTCTGAAACAAGCGTGATCTCTATAGACCATTTTCCTATAAATTCCTGAACTGACCAGTGTAATTACAAGTGTTCAAAAATTACACAAATTGTGATTCTTAAAAGAAAGGTGATAGTAAGTAATCTGCTGAACATGACCCTCTTGCCTCCCAGTTCTTCTGTCTACTGTGGAAGTCAGTGGCAGGCTAGGGGAGAGCACAGAAGCAGAAGATGCATGTCAGGAGCAGGTAAATTAGTACATGACACAGATCACATGCAACAAGGTCCACCAAGGTAGTGGTAAGTTTAATAACCTAATAATAGAAAAGTGTGACAGCTGTTGGCAGATCTAGGAACGACTGATTATCTAATGATGACTGGTGCAAATAATAATGCAAATAGATACTGATGTCAGGAGTGGAAACTTTCTGCTACCAAACCTTCTCATTAAATCTATTATTTCCCACTGGTAACAAAAGCAGTATTTCATCTCAGACTGCAAGATGCACTTTGTATGACTTTTGTTCGCTGGTTTGCCTACTGCTTTCTAACAATATGATTTTGTGATGGTGCTAGTTAGGTATAGCCATTCAATGGGAAGTGAGCAGCACTGCTGGTAAGAAAAATGTTTAACAAGTTTGCTAAAATAAGGCATATAACACTCAGATGATCTGTTTTGCAAACCAGTTAACAGGAGAAATGCACATCAATTCACCCAAGTTCACCAAATCACAAAACACACAGAAGTGAATTGAATTCCTAGATTCATAGGTTACTTAGAGGTAGTGAAAAATCATCCTAATGCTTTCTGTAAAAGAATGCTCTTAAGAAATGTACAAATATATCTTAATATAAATGCACTCTCCTTGCATCTAACTTTGCTTAGAGAACATCTTTGATTCTAAAACCTGAAATTTTTATGAGAGTTCCAAAAAGTCTCTTAAAAGAAAAGTAATAAAATCTATTGTGTACCAATAAGTAAATCATTCAAACTGGATGACTTGTGGAAGCATTATTTATACTTCTGTATAAATAATGACTTTTAGTTAAAGAAAATGCAACTAACAGAAAAAAAATATGTTGCTTCATACCAAAGAGGAAGTCTCTTTCAAATAGTATTGGGGGGGGGGGGGGGGGGAAGAAATACTGGTAATCTGTTTGTCACAGTATGTACTAAATGGTTTGTGTGTAATTCTTTTCTGGTATATTTTGGGGTTTTTAGAACTATGTATATTAATTATTGAGGCTTGAATAAAAAGTGTGAGTAATATGTAGGTACATATAAAATGAACAGTTAGTACTACTATTCCAAATATTCTTCCTACATATACACCTAATTTTAATGTCATGAGTCATCTCATTCAACTTGGTGGGATTACTCACACCCCTAGAACTAAAAATGCTTCTATCTGTCATAAATCTAAGCTATACAAACCATATACATGCACTTTTCGCACAGGAAACACATTAGCTTGTGATGGTGGAGGTTAATGTAAATTGCCCTAGGCTATTGAAGGGCTCTTATCATAGCAAGAATTATTCTTATCCCTAAGGAGTGTTTTGCAAATAAAAGGGATAAAAAAGCTGCCCAAAACTTAAATTTGATTCACTAAAAACAGGATAGGAATTTATAGATATTAAGAGTGTGTGTGTTTGTGTGCATACATGTAAAAAATTATACTTTGCCTAACCAAATATACATAAAAATATATATAATTTTAAAGGACTAATTGCTTACTTACACAGTCAGATGCATACCTATTTCATACACTAGCATGAAATAAGGAGTGGTTCTGTTTTTCTGAAAGTCTTTTGAAAGCACATAATAAATGAAGTTGTGCCCATTGACTATTTCTAACACTTTGTGCTCAGTTAGTAAAGAGAGTTTTGCCGATGAGCTGGGGTTTTGGCTTGAATGGGCCAGTGACTTCAGAGACTGGAAAAAATTTTACACTGGCACATACCATATTTTATTAAACCACATCACCTAAAAAACAAATCAAGCAACATTTTCCTCCCCTGCATTAAACAACGATACAGGAAAGCATAAGCGATATTAGCACTGCTAGAAATGTTCAAAAGTGGAGCAGCTGTACCATGCAAAGCATGCAGAGAGAAGGGGAAAAAAAGTACTGAAGCACCAGAGGGATACACGCATTTGTTAAAAGAGATTCTCTAAGCATACTAACCTGCTGGTTCTAATGAATTTTCTACTTTGTCGTTAACATCGAAAACACGATCATGAACACCTATAGTTTTCATACAGCTGTCTATAACAAAAATAGAGATAACAGCCAAATATGTTAGTGAGACACCCTTAAACTCCCCACTTTCCTTTTTTCCTCTCTTTTGTCTTTCAATTTAGTATACATAGTTAAGCATATTTATATTTTAAACTCTGTGGCACTTGACCAAATGCCAGTATAGCCTTCCACTTGCACAACAGTCTAAGAAACAACAAGTTAGCAACTGTCATATAATTAAAACCAAGCTTTATGAAAAATGATAAGAAAATACGATGAAAATCATAGCACAAATATTGCTATACAGAACAGATACACAAGATTTAACAGTAAAATAAGATTTACTGCTGTTTACTAGACCACACAGTAAAGCAAGCTACCCTCGGAAGCTTAATCTGAAGAACTTACTTGCTGGTCGCACAAAGACCTTAAGCTTTAGACAGGATCTCCTTCCATTATCTGGGATTGCAGAAGCTGTAAATGGGAAAGAAGGAAAGACGTGGAAAAGTAAGAAAGTGAAAATTAAAATCATTTTTTGTGCTAAAATAAAATATCCTTTACCTCCCCTTCATCCGAATGGCTGGAGACATTTCAGACTGATGGTAAGGACTTCGAGTGCATAAAATATTTTGATTATGAAAAGCAGGGAAAGAACTTCACAATTTATTCTAATCCCTTTTTTGATTATTTTACATAGAAGAAGTGAAGCACATGGTATTGTCAATGTTTCATTATCTCCTTTCACCTTTCCACATTTTTTTCTCAAGAGGATGTTTTAATATGGTTTCTGCCGTAATGCAGGTGTCTGCTCTGAAAAATTACACTTCAAAATAATTAAGATCACTTAGAGAAAAGCTAGTCTTGGCTTCAACAATCTAAAAAGAGATGAAAAATCAAAGTGATACTGAAGGTGACAATGCTAAAAATAGAACTATGTATATACTCCCAACAAAAGTAGAAAAACATGCCACTAAACTAATATGTCAAAGTCAGCCTCCATGTTCCAATACATCTGCCTTTGTTGAGAAAAGACATTGCTTCGGTCAAAACATGATTCCCCATATTCCATTAACTAACAAACCAAAACCAGCTTATTCCTTCTTTCTGTCCTACCTCATAATTGTCCATTCAAAGTTTTTCATTTTAAGAGTACTTACTGACAAAAAGTGAAAACATAATGTCCAATGCAAAAGATCATACACATAAGACTACTGTCAGCACCTAGTTATTTCCCAGGAATACATGTTGCTGTGAAAACTTCCTTTCTAGAACTATGCTTGCCTCAAAAGGCATGATTATAGAGAAATGTGCCTGCCTGTCACCACAGACTGGATTCCTTAGTGTATTATCTGCCAATCTGAACACACTGGTAACTTTCACCAGTGTCTGCAATTTTGAAATTGTACATTGGCATCCAAGAAACTTGACCTGGGCATCCAGATTTTCATTTCTGAGAAACTGTTCACATCCATGTTTTTTTACCCTCACAAAAAACCTCAAAAGCTATAGTTGAAAATGTTGCCTGCAGCACTATAAAGTAATTTTTGTTTCATTACATAGTCTCCCCTATAACTAAAAAAGCTATGTATTAAGGCAGAATAAGTTGGTTTTTGTAGCAAATGGCAACTATTGGAAACTGTCATGACCTACAAAAGATGATTGGGCTGGCAAGATGCTAGTTTGTTCTGTTTATCACTGTTTCATCTATTTTTTCTTAATTTTGTCCAGTTTGTGACAATAACAAAATGTTTTTTACACAGACACGATCTCATTGTCTTCATGCTCATCTTACACTTGAAGGGCTCCCCAACCAGCTAGAAATAAATTCCCTTCATCTTTGATGATGTGCTTCCAAGACAGATGTCAGCTTTTTCCTAGAAAACCTTGCCAAGAACTAGAAAATTCAGTACAAACACAAAAAAGGAGCAAAGTAAAGAGTCCAGTACAGCTAATGCCATGGGTCTGCACCTGTTGGGAAGTGCTTGAAAAATTGCTTCCCTCTTTTAATCAAAAGACAAAAGTGTGTAGAAATGATATTTCCCCTTCACAATGACAAGCAGTAAAGAAGTGTTAACAGCTGGCATTGCTATAGGCTCTTACTAAATCAAAATCAGAAAAACTGTCATTAATGACATTTACAGTAACTGGTGTGTTATTTAGGGCACAATATTTGCACTCTGTAGTTATACTCAGGAAATTGTGTCCTTTCTGTGGCTCTGATTGAATATATGCAACTGGCTAAATACTTCACTCAGACTAAACAGACATCTTGAAAGATAAGAATTATATAGTCATTACAATATTACTAGCATGAAGGTGGAAATAACATTTCCAACATTAGCCAAAATAGAGTCCCTACAGTAATTTTATCACTAACAGATTCTTCTGTTCAGAAATTATTTCAGAAGTGCATCATGAAACACACTTATTTAAAGGGAAGTTTTAGCTTTGATGCTTACATACTGTTGTTAATGTCCGTAAGATAAGCATGCTTTGCTCACTGCTGTTTATTAGAATAATCTGTTAGCCAGTAACTAACAAGGATACCACTGACTAGCTAAGATAGTGAGGAGGTAATAATATTCTGTCTGGAAAACCAGAAAATTAATGTTCTCTACATTTAAGTTTATATGTGTACATAATATTTGCACACATTAAAGAGCAAACAGTGCTAGTGATTGGCCATGATAAATGCTCCATCTCCAGCAGTGTTCAAGGCCAGGTTAGACAGTGTCTTGGGCGACATGGTCTAGTATGAGGCACCCCTGTCCATGGGCCTAGGGAAGTTGGAACTAGATGATCTTAAGGTCCTTTCCAATCCTAACTATTCTATGAGTCCATGTTTTTTGGAACAAAAACACTAAAATCCATTCCCTACTTATTTTTTTTCCAGCAGTCCTCTGGGTTGCAGCTACAAATTATACCACAAACTGCAGTCCTATTGCAACCATAGCACTTGCATTTAAATCATCATCCCAGAAATGGACAGTTTTAGCAATAAGTATGAAAAGGTGCTTTTTACCTTTCTAGGAAAATTATGTATTGTCGATGTTTGCAATAAACCCAGAAAGATTCCTCTTTAATATTTTTTTTACTCTTTCAGAAGGAATAATAATGAATTAAAAAAAAAAAAACACCAAAAAAAAACAAAACAAGTGACATCATATTGTTCTGTTATCTCTACCTCAACAACCAAGACTGAGGCTGATGTAGGAATACATTGCAATCTCTTCCACTTCCCTGAGAAGTTAACTATTTGCTAAGATGCATGACTGCCATCAATTGTTTTTATTTCCTTTCTCCTTCTCCCTCCCTCCCTTTCTTCTTTTCATCTTAAAAGAAAAAGCAAAGACCAATTTTAGTTTTTCCCTTAAGATCAGATATATTACCCACACAGAAGAGTCAGGAAAGGCAAAAGATTGCTTCCCTTTGTTAGCTGGGATCTGCTAAAAGGTGCTTCCCAGGTTAAGCATTGCTGTTGCTACATTCCACTGAAATGAGCTATAGTATAAGAAAAGATGGCCTTTCTAGGACATACTAAGAGAACTTCATTCTCCTTTCGGCACAAAACCAGGCAAGCTCCTAAGGCTTTGGTATACGGCTTTTCCATTTGCCCATTTTAAAGGTGATATTAGCTGTAAAATAGAGGCTAGTTCTGGGAGCAGGAAGTCTCTGATGTTAATGGAACCCATCTCAAGAAACATTTTCCACTTCAAAAGCCAAAATTCCCAAGGGAAAAAAAAAAGGTAGTTGAAGTCCTGCTGTAAAACAACAACAACAAAAAAACCAAACAAAACGAAAAACCCCAAAACCCAGCTTTGAAAAGAAGATCTCTAATAATGAGCAAAAGAGATTATATCCTCTTTTTTTTTTCATGAATGATATTAGAATAGAAAAGGTCTGACTGTTTAGTCTGTGTCAGGAAGAACCACAATGGAAAACAGAAAAAGAACTCTTCAGTGTGACTAGTTCTTATACGTCATCACAATTCCTATGATACTTCACTCCTTCCTGGCTCTACCTCAGCTTTACCAGCAACTTCATGACAATTTCATGGTTCTCTCTTTTAAAGAATATGTTTCAGACTTTACAGTTACACAAAGACTTGGGGTTAGAGGGAAGTGTACAACAAAATCCCTCTGAAATCACAAGATACAAGAAAATACCTCAGTGATTATAAACATAACTGGTTTGGTGCCTCTTTTTTTTTTCTTTTTAATAGGAAAATTACATGATTTAGAAGAAATTCAAGTAATGATGTGTGTACTCATGAGATGAATATTCTGCATCCATTAACTGAACTACAAAAAATTCCTTGCAATGAGCTACTGCACACAGGACTAGATCTAAGCTGGATCCAAAAATGGCCCATTAACACCAAATTAGATAAGAAAATTTCTCTTTTCTGAACTACTTCCTCTTGTAATGAAAGGGGAGTGAAGAAAATTAATCTCTCCTCATCTAGAACCAAACCATAAATATTTCAGTATTTGCTAGCTATATTTAAATGGGGGGGGGGGGGGGGGGGGGGGATATCCAGCTCCTTTCATCCCACTCCTAAGCAGTTCTCTGCTAGAAAACACAGGGTACAGTATTAATATAGCATATAGCATATAGAAAACAGGTTAGGTCCTTCCTCAGACTGATACGGTTTAGCAGGGCTATTCAACGGCTGCAGGAAGCCACAAACAGAGAACAGAAAGTGACGCAGAGAACAAAAAGTGACACACAGAGAAATAGCATGGGTTTTTTATTTCCCCAACAATATTGGAGTGAAATTTATTATGTTAAATCCCCCAAACTCCTAAAAATGCCATCAATATATGGCCCAATAACCTAAAAAGATAGGTAATTGAAAACTAAATATACAAAAAAGAATAACTATTAAAAGCCCCAAAATAACTTGGTTATAATGGCTTGCTAGTCATGTGACTAAAGCTGTAATTAAGTATTTCCTTTCCTAAGACAGGCAGCAGTTTGGCTGGGAACTATCTCAGCCTCTGTTTCTAAGCTAAGAACAATTTACTAAGATGCCACATACGGGAAGTGTTTCCACCATTCCATTTACTGATATTCACATGTAATCAGTGGTTTCCTCTTTTTGTCTCATTGCACATTCTTAGCTTTCTAATTACAGCATTGCATCTTTTCTTCAAACACAAGTTCTGATATTAAAAAAAAAAAAAAAAAAAGCAACTCAAGTCCTCATTTAGCACTACAAATATATTTAATATCCCAGGCACAACCCACTATGGACCAACCCTATTAGAGAGCAAAACTGGAAACATTCAGTGTACAAATAGCTCTCCATTTACCTAAGTCACTCAGATAGCACTTCTGTTTTAGAAAGGGCAGACACAAAAGAGCAGAAACTTTTTCCTTACACAGAATTGCAACACCCCCAAGCCCTGACATAGCATGATGCAGCTATTGTGCAGATGACAACTCTTGATGTTTTGTATTTCAAGTTTCTA